CACCTTGGCTGCTGTACGATGTGACCCCTTCTAAGAACTGCAAACTAATTTAATTGAAAGATGGGATAGAAATCAAGGAAAGCTCCCTGTATTGATCAGTCACCAAGCCTATGAAGCAACAGTAAAAGCAACACAAAGTATACATCAATAAGTGATAAACTACCAGTAAATAATAGGCCCTAATCTCTATCATTTTCTGCCTCCATCTCCTCAGAAGGACCAAGAATAATGAGAGATCTTTGCTTGTAAAAATTAATTAAGACTTAAATAACAAAGATAGATAAAAAGAGATACACCACCCATCAATTTGGGCTGTGTAATAGAACTGTAAAAGTGAAATCTAACTTTGCTCATCTTTTTGGATTGTCAAAGTAAGGAAAGACTTTTAAGGTAATACATAAAAACCTAGATTTTCTTGTTAAAGTAAGAAAATGCTGCATATATTTTAGAATGCATGAAAGATTAGCTGAGTTTGGCAAGCTGTGATTTCTGATGGAGGGGTAGGCCCTCTCCTTGCCCCTGGCTTACTCCAGGCCTGCGGCTGCATAATAGCAAGCTTCCTCTGGATTTTAGTGTGAAATGGACATTTGAAATAAAGTATTTAATATGTCTATAACACCTTTCATGTTCATAGCTCTAAGAGCTTTATAAAATCCAATTAATGCATCAAGCTTCATAAACTCTGAAGGACATGTGCAATTACAGCTCCCTGTGTGGCTCACACTGCTGGCTAGGGGTCAGAAGAGCAGCTTAGCAGAAACAGATTTCAACCATCTAGCTCTGAACTCTTACGAACCTACAGAAAGTCAGGGGCTCAAGGAAGAATCTTGAAATCAATGGCAGAGTCTAAGAACTGTAAATTGGCTTAGGAGCACACAGAGACAGCAGATTCTTAGAGCCAATACCCCAGTGAACTCTGGTCACCTCCACTTGGGTGGAGTTTGGCTCAATTACAAGAGGGCTCCCTCGACTGCCTGCTCTTGTAAGAAGATGAACACATGCCAAAGTCTCTGACATTCCAAAGGAAATCTATAGACCTAATAAGAAGAAATAGTTCAAATATTCTCACACTAATAATTATAAATACTAAACCAGTGTTCACGGTGTGCAGTCAATTTTCCAGATAAACTGAAATGCTTTGGGAAGTTTATAACATTTTAAAACCTACTATCCAGGCAAAATCTGGTTTGCCAGTTCTAGCAGAGTACAGAGGCTTTATGAATGATGTATATAATTTTCTAGTAGAAACCTACACTTTTGAAACATAGTGATCAAAGGGGAAAAGACAAGAGTCCTCTGAGTTTGTTCCAGGCCATAGTCTTTTTGTTGGGGAGTGTGATCAACAAAAATGCACCCCAGGGCTCAGGGACATCTGCTTCACCTGAGCTGTCCTTGCAGCTGACAACCTGTGTGCTCCAGGCCCAGTTGCGAAGTCTCGGAGCTCCCCTACGTCAATGAGAAGGATGCTACCTACACTCCTGTAGTTCCTGACAACTGTAAATGAAAATAAATGTGTGAAGTGCCTAATAAGTTTCTAATAAATCATGGAAGGTGATCTAGAAAATCATTTTTTCCTTATCCTCCATAAGTCTCAATTCCTCTAAGGTGCCCCCCAAAAATAATCTGGTGAATAGATGACCATGGATGTCTCCCATTCACCAACAATAAGCCTTGCAGTAAGCAACCACTATCTTGGAGGACACAGAGATTAAGGAATGACAAGCATGAATAGCAGTGTCAAGGACTTACTTCTACCGTCTGAAGGGCAATATTAAAAAAAAAATCTACTCATTTTCTGTTTTAATTTATTTATTTTATATAGGGCCTTGCTATACAGTTCAGACTAGTGGGAATTCTCCTGTCTCAGCCTCCCAGGCACTGCGATTATAGCATGTGCCACCATGCCCAGTTCCAGGCTGGCATGGCATGCAGCATTAAAGTACCAGGTGTTGGACTCAGGTCCTTGAGCTTGCCAGGTAGGTGCTTAGATCACTGAGCTATCTCCTCAGTCCTCTACTTTATGTATTTGGTACAGGGTCTCACTACATAGCTTGGACTCCTAGTGATCTTGTTTCAGCCTCCCCCGCACTGGGATTGCAGGCCTGCACCACTACTTGTGGTCTCAGTTGCTGCTGGTCTAGCAAGCCCAAAGCAGACCGTGGTGACAGGCATCAAACCCAGGTCCCTGTGCTTGCCTAAGCAGATGCTAAATCCTCTGAGCTATCTCACTGGTCCCCTGTACTCTCATTCTCAATGGAAGCTTTCCTTCAACTGATGGAAGCACTAGGAAGCAAATCTAAGTTCAATTCAATGACCAGCCACATCATGATAGCAGGCTGGGGAGATAGCTCAGCAGTCTAAGCGCCTGCTTGGTAAGCTCAGGGACCCGGGTTCCATCCCCTACACCGTACGCCATGCTGTGCACTGAAACCCTGGCATGCAGTGCCAGTGCTGGCTACCGAAACATTGCATGGTGGCACACAACTCTAATCCCAGCTCTGGGGAAGGAGGATCACTAGGAGTCCCAGCTGCATAGTGAGACCCTGCCCTGTATCAATAAATAACAATAAAAAAATTTTTAAAAGTGGTAGGATAGGATAGGATAGGATAGGATAGGATAGCCTATCATATCAGATAGGCTCTCTGATAGGATAAGTAGCTCTCTAACATTAGTAAACAGTAGATTTTTAGTGCTGGAGTGGGGTTTTCCAACTACATGAGGTATTCAGCAAAGGTACTTTAATAATATATAAACGTATTAAATATCCATGCTACCATAGACATTGACTTACTAAATCCTCCCAATGACTTTACTAAGTGAATATTTACTAAATATTCCCCAGTATACACCATAGAAAACAATAGTTATTAGAGTGTAACAAATACCAGTGGGTAACCACCTTGGGGAATATGATGGAGTGGTATTGTAGGTAAGGTAATATAAGGTAATACATAACATGAGTCTACCATTTGCTTCTCATGGCAACTGTATGTCTGATCGACAATATGTAAGGATACTATAGAACGCAGGCTAGTTGAGATATATGGTCAAAAGACAAACAAGACAGTATTTCAGCCTCAAAATTCTATTTCAGTTTCAAGAACTAACTTGGTTTTTCACAACTGGAGTTAGTCTGACTTCAAAACTCTCGTATCATGAATAGTTCTTCCAAAGCTTCTTTTGAGTTTTCATTAATATTAATACAGCAACAAAGAAGCTAAGCAATGATGTCTTCTAAGCTGCATTTACTGATGCTTGTTACGCACCACACAGAATGCTAACTATGAAGTGTGAGGCTGTTGGTAATCATCCTCATAGCAACACCATGGGCTGGGCACTGCTGCTACTTTCTATGAACTGCCAGCACACAAAGCTGGCAGAACTTGCTGGGGGCCACACGGCTAATAGCGACAGAGATGAGAATCACATTGAGCTATATTTAATCCCAAATATGCAGTCATAATCACTATGCTAGATGGTGCTGCATATACACAACATAGTGATGTAACTCATTTTTAAGTAAGATAAATTTTACAGATTTAATTAATGAAAGTCTCAACTGAGGCCACATACCTGTGAATAAATTCTGGTGGTATGATTAATAAATTCAAAATTGGCATTTTCACATACCCCTTTCCAAAGCCAATAACGTATTTTTATCTAACTACACACTTCATTTTTAGCTGTGTTAAGAATTATGAACCTATGACATTTTCATAATTGTCATCATCAGAGTTGATGCCTTTCTGAGACATTTTTAAATATTCTAGGCCTGGCATAGGAAATGTTTTGGTTTGTTATTTATTTATTTATTTATTTATTTATTTATTTATTTATTGTGGCCGCTCAGCCCACCCTGGGAGCATGGTTCATGTAGAATGTGGTGCTGGGCATTGAACCATGGTCCCTATGCTTGCCTAAGCTTGCCTACGCAGGCACGTTAGACTGCTGAGCTGTCTTGGTGGCTCAATGTTTTGGCTTAAAACTTAGTAGCTTACACGGAAAAAATATGTTAAGCTCATTTAAATTAGTTCTATTCATCTCAACCTCAATAATAATATAAATCATTGACTTCACTTTTGTAGAAATAATTAAAGAGCCAGAATACAGCAAACTTTTAAGCATGCCATTTAATACAGCATCCTATAGTTTAGTACTTTATTATGGATGATTAAGAAAGGGAGCTAGAAAAAGAAGAGAAAGGGATTCCAGAGACAACAAGGCAAGATAGAATGACGGCTCAGGCCAGAGGTATAGCTTAGTGTTACAGTGCCTGCTGGCAAGCGTGAAGTCCTGAGTTCAACTCCTGGTTCCAAACAAAACAAAACAAACAAACCAAGCAAACAAAGGCACAGCTAAACCACAAGAACAACTGATTAAATCCCTAATAAACATGCTCACTTGCAATGCACACATCTTCACGGTTCAGAGCTGTACCCTTAACTAAGGGAGAGATGATACACAGTGGGCATATAATCAACAACTAATTAATAAAGGAGCAATCCCAGGACATGGATTTTTATAGGTGAGTCCCAATTTTATTGCTTTTGTAGCTGGCAGTACAAGGACACTGTGTCCAGTGACCAGTACCAAAAAAAGTTATTTTATAATTTTACCAGCCACAGTGTAATCCATTAGCACTTGACAGTAGATCAGAGCAAATAAAAGGTTTATTTTTATTCAAACCTAAACATAAATGGTAAGGTAGATTTACAAAACTAGGATCAATAATTGGTCAGAGAATCTTAATGACTGATCACTCTTCTCATCAGCAGAACTATAAGTCAGTGTTTCTGCTGTCCAGTTTTCATTGCAGAAACTTTGAGTTTGATCTTCATGGATCACCTAAGCTTTGCTTCTTTCAAATTCAGATTTATAGCCTAAAGGCATGCTCACTATCTCTGTCTGCTTTACATCCATTCAAGAGTTTTACTCTTATACATCAATGAACTGTATTTACTGTCGCCGGCGTACACCGGGCTCCAGGCGTCCTCAGTACCTGCTGCTTTTCCAGACGCATCCTCTTGGCGGCATTTCTGCTCTCGCTCTCACAAGCTGAAGCCAAGATACTCTCGGCAACTGCTGAAGTAAGGTGGGAAGGAATAGGTCGAGACTAAAAAAAAAAAAGAGAGAGAGAGAAAATATGAAAATATTATTAACAGTATCATGACCAGGCCAATGCAATTCTCCACAGAGCGTGGAGGACCATCACCATTCGCAGGAGCATCCATTTATTTCAACTGACTTTATTTCAATAGAGAGAGGACATGCAAATTGTAAAGATGAAAAATGAAAGCTAGTTAGAGATTAGAGCTATGGTTGCTACACAGATCCATCATTATTCCTATAGCTCTACTGTTGTAAATATTTAGGTAGGCCACTGAGGTTGAGGTGAAACCAGTAGTGGCAAAAGCACTGCCTGGATTTTGCAAATCATACCAGTCCTTTAGTGTTTTTGTAATGCAAGACAATGAACAAAAGAACAAAATAAAACAAATGACTGCTAAAGCAGAGTAGAAAAACTAACAGACACACAAACCATGTCAAAACAATCTTCATACAGGCATTATGGATGTTTACACTCTAAACTGCGCCAAGTGATGGGATTAAAATGCCTCAAAAATAATTTACTTTACAGAAAAATATTTAAAATATACAAAAATAGCTCACAAATCTAACCAAGAATGAAACGTTAGGACTTTCTGCCAGCATAACGTTGAACTCCTTTGTATAAAAGTATTTTAATTGCACACATTGTTTTTGGTTTTGTTTTTTTTTTGGTTTTGTTTTTTTTTTTTTTTTGTAGGACAGTTTCAATAGTTAACACATTGCATACATTCTTCCTAGTGGTTAATTGCTGTACAAGATGCGGACATGATATCCTATTTACAAACACCATTAGAACA